CACACACACACACACACACACACACACACACACACACACACACACACACACACACACACACACACACACACGGCACTGTGTTAGAGGAGGGAATGTGACAAAGTCATTGTCTTACCGCTACCTACCAGGCTTTCTCCTGTGCAAGAAAACACAGCACACACACAGTTCAGCTCCTGACTGTTCACAAGCACAGTCCGCTGTATTTGTGGTTAAAGGCAATAGCGTGTTGGCCTGAGGGTGGCAGTGTGGGCTTAAAGGGATAGTTCACCCAAAAATGAAAATGTGATGTTTATCTTCTACTGAAGAAACAAAGTCACCTACATCTTGGATGCCCTGGGGGTAAGCAGATAAACATCACATTTTCATTTTTGGGTGAACTATCCCTTTAACTAACTCTTATTCAACATCAGAAGGCTGAACGCGTGTCTGGAAACCTACCTTTGACCTCATGGTGCGTTCGGAGCATTTGGCCGCGGCGGCCGCCATCTTTACAATGTCAGGGTTGCTCTTTGACTTCATGATATCTGAAAGACATGACAGCCAGCCGGTTCATAACGTGCAGGTGAATGCATCTGAGCGTGGGTTGATCTCGAGGCGAGGCTCGTACCGTATCCACCGCGCTCCACGTCCTCCAGCGTGGGTTGCCCCAGTGCATCATGGGTCTTCTGCAGCTGCTCGCGCAGGCGGCTCAGATCGCGCTCCGCTTTGGCCCGTACGATGCTCAGCTCCGTGTAGATGTCCTTGTATTTATCCGTTGCATATTTTTTATCCTATAAAGAGACACGGCACATTAATCATCGCACATTCTTACAACGGGGTCCTTTAAAAAGCGTTAAAATTCAGTTTGATCAAAATTATGGTCATTTTAGGAGGTCATATATTTGGGTACAAAAATAGTTTGTTGTATTTAAATTGCCATGTCAGCTTCACAGGCTATATTATATGGCAGATACAACATTTAATAAACAATACAATAAATACACACATTTCATAAAATTCAATTTAGAAAAAAAAGACTAAACTTGGTATATACTCTATAAAAAATTATTGATTAAAATTGTAGTTTTTCTGCGTCCAGAATAATTCAGGAATGGGAATACCTCCTAATGTGATGATTAATCTTATTAAACAATTAAACAAAAGACAATGATTTAATTAAATAAATACGAGTGCTGCAAGTTCAGTTCGAATTCAATCAACGAATATTACACATTTATGTCAAGCAGCTGATTTTGATCGTTTAGACAATGAATTACGCCAGTGTTTGTGTTACGGTATTTACACTGTAGCAATGAAGTAGTAATACTGGCATTTCAAAATAAGAGTCCCAGTGTATTCGGGCATGTTTATAATTAAAAGTCCCGCATAATGCATATATTATTATTGGTATTTTAGTTACACAAACTGTATTTGGAATTTAATTCAACTCACACGCTCTCTGGGCTGCTCGTCACGAGAAGGAAAGACTAAGAACATTAACGCTTTCAATGTATATACATTTTTCTAGTAGCAGCACAATTATGTTTTTTGCCTTATCATATCTGCAAAATCAAATATAAACACATGTATTGATGCAATATTAGTGCATAAACCAAATGCAATGCATATGCATTTACTAAATAAAACATATTTTTAAACTTGTGTCGCAGCTTGTTTAATTAAGAAAAAAAGTCTTGGAAAAGGTCTCAAAATCTTGATTTTAAAACTCCTCACAATGAAGGTGCAGCACTTACTCTGTGGGCAGTCTGGAGCTCATCTTTTAAAGATTTGATCTCCTGCTTCAGATACTGCACTTCTGACTCCTTCACCCTCCGCATCACCTGTGAACACAAGCGTGATCAGCTTCTCATTCGCAGCATGCTGTGGAGAACGAGCGAGGCATGAAGGGAAGCAGCAGACCTCCAGCTCGTACAGCTCCTTCCCCTGCATGCCCCCGCCAGCGTCCCCGCCGTCCTCGCTCGCCATCGAGCGCATCTTCGTGATCTCAGCCGCCAGATGGTTGTTCAGCTCCTGCACGACAGACAAACAGACCAAATCAAGCCTTCTGTGCGTCTGAAGTCGATTCAGTTGCTCTAAGGTCATGCTGACCATTTAGTTTCGATTTAATCCTTATTAAAACTACTAAAGAGCAGTGAGGGATTTCTCTGTCTTTTGTTGTTTGATTAACATTAATCAGGTTTATTAGGCTTCTCTCACTTTAAGACGTAATGCACGGATCCAATATACTGACACACTTCTGATATTCTCACAGCTGCTTACATTCACTTAATACTTAACCCATCGTGTTTATGTGAATACTCGCCAAAACAGACATCATTTTGTGCAAATTTGTCCATTCAAGTGCGAAAGAGAACTCAATTCAGTTCTCTTTCCAAATCGTCTCATTTTTATTAATTCACGAAAAGGTCATCATATTTTCTGCTTTCTTTATCTTTCAAAACTGTTTATTTAGTTATTGTCTTGTTTTTCTTAGTGAATAGGGCCCTATGAAATCCGTTTTATTTTTTTCCAAATTCCGTTTGAATTTTTCTAGACTATTTTTCCTCTATTTTAATTTTTCTAACTTTGTTTTAATGGTTAAATTACATTTGATTGGTTAAAACGCATGTCTAATTAATTGAAACCATGAAATTTACACAAGTTAATGACAATTTATTAAAAGTTTAACAAAAATCACATTTTTAGGGCCCTATGAAATACGTTTATTTATTCTCAAATTCTGACATTTTTTTTTAACCAAATTTAATAATCAAAATTATAATTTTTTTAATTCTATGTTATGTATTTTTTTCTGGTAATCAAATGATAGCATGAAACAATAATTATCAATAATTAATCTTTGAATCAAATGAAAATTAAACCTCTCCAATGTTTTATTTTTATTTTTTTGCAAACTAAGTGCTGCACAACAGGTTAATTGTTAAACAAGCTTTTGAATGCTATAGTGTATAATGTTACAAAACCTTTTTAAACTTTTCAGATAAATGCTGATCTTTGGATCTTTATATTCATCAAAGAATCCTGAAAAAAATTTACTCAACTGTTTCAAATAATAATAATAATAATCTTGTTTCTCGAGCAGCAAATCAGCATATTAGAATGATTTCTGAAGATCATGTGACACTGAAGACTGGAGTAATGATGCTGAAAATACAGCTGCGCATCACAGAAATAAATTACAGTTTAACAGATATTCACATAGAAAACAGCCATTTAAATAGTAAAAATATTTCACAATTTTACTGCTTTTTCTGTATTTCTGATCAAATAAATGCAGGCTTGATGAGCAGAAGATAATTCTGTAAAAAACATTAAAAATCTTACTGTTCAAAAACTTTCGACTGGTAGTGCACATTCTACTATACAATATATGTCTGTCACAATTTCAAGTTAACCCAACTTTTATTTTGCCGTGAAGAGTTTTGTGTGTGTGTGTGTGTGTGTATGATGTGCCGGTAGTTTTTCTCAAATGAAACAGTCAAATGTGTTCATGTATCTACGTCCTCATTTAGTGAGACGGCAGACGACATCGCATTCATTCATTCACATAGCAACACGCAGAACACGCAGGATTTCAATTTAAATAGTCTTTTTGCAGTTAAATATTTACAGACACCAGTCCATATCGCCATCTGACTGAAGTGCACTGACCTACTTTGGATTTATTCATTCAAAATTTGGCATCATAGGGCCCTAAGCGAAAAAATATTGTGGACGAATTATAATATTGGTCACTGAGGTTAGCAGCGGTTACCTGGTTGTGTGCATTGAGCTCCTGGTTCTCCCGCTGGCACTGTCGGAGCGCCTGTCTCTCGGCCTCCAGCGCTTGGGCCAGATGAGCGTTTTCTAAGCACTTCTGCGAGTACTGCTCCGACAACACCTCGATCTCCCTCTGGTACGACATCAGCTCTTCCCTGCAACACAAATGCACATGCGTTTTTCCTTTCAGTTTAATGTGATGATAAAAGAGCAAGGCCTTTATGTCTAGACAGAAGTACAGCCAAGAGCTCGAGGGCAGATTACGAGCATGTGCACAAAGAAAGAAACTGTGCAATCACTCCAGATTTGGCATCTTGGCTGCGTTGCCCCAGGCTTTAAACCCTTTATCCACTCCAATTAAAGCAGTATTATTTGCAAGTCTTATTTGCATATCGCAGCTTTAACAGTGATGTTACAAGAAATGTGCCACAAGAGCGAGATGGGAGGTGTGGCCGTGTAAACTTGTTTCAAGCAATTAAATCTGAAGAGACAGCTGTTTACTTCCCAAAAGAATGCAAAGGTGCGGCTGCGCTGCATTTGACTGCATTACGAGGCTGAAATGGCGTTAAAGGAGTAGCAACTGACTCGTGCTGTTTGTGGATTTCCTCGATGTCTGCGTTTTCTGTGTTGCTGTTGACCTTGCGTGTTTTCTCCAGCTCCCGCTCAAGCTCCGTCCGATGTGCATTCTTCATTGCTTCGATAGCTAATCAAAGAAAAACATTAAAAACGCTGTTTATTAATAATGGGTCTTAAAAACAGAAAAAAAGGTTATTCTAGATTTGTGTCTATATGCATTTATAATTATGACATTTTCATTGAGATTATGCTATATTATTACCATTATCAACTTTGCTTCTGTCAATCAGCACAGGTTTTGTGTTTCTTTCTGGAACTGGTTGTCCTCAGTTTTTGAGTGAATATTGCCGAAATTATCCACAAATAATGCTTTATTCACTCACAAACATCAGCTCAGATCAACGAGGCAATCAATCAGCTCCAAAAAGAAATACAAAACCTGTGTTAATTGAAATAAACAAGTTGATAAAAATAGTGATGATAATATAGCATAATGAGAGATTTACAAGCAATTTTTAAAAGGCAGGTCATTTTTGACTGGCGATTTTTTTTTTTTTCCCCAAAACTTGACTCTTATTTTGGATTTTAATGTTTATATCGCTAAATTCACTGGAAACAGAACACTTGTTTATCAATGCTTGTTATAACATGGTTGTAATTCCTGAACGCTTTGGAATACAGACCTAAGGTTGGTCTCTTTTTAAAGAAAACACATAGCAGATTATTGCTGAAGTGAGTGCATTTAAAAAAAAAAAAGAAAGTATAAAAAAGATATAGAAGTTTAAGTTTACAGTAAAGATAATGCAGTATACTATTTTTTTTAATTGTATATAAAATAAATATGTAATAAAATATGTTGCACTCTAAAATTGCTATAAAATCAAAGCCATATGTCTAACAAAGTTATGTTCCAAATTTGAAGTTGATATCACAAAAATTGTGAGATTTTGTTTGGCCACTATACCGAAAATAACCACTGGGTGACACCCAAACTCTATTGTTTTTTTATTGACAATTTCTGTCACATCACTTCTATTACCAAACAGTTACCAAATATGGCACCTTGACTGTCAGACCTTTCCAACAATACAGTATGTGTTTTTTGTCAAGATTACAAAAAGATTTGATTTTCTAAAACACAAGCCACAAAATCTCTATATGTCTGTTTCTCTACCTCTATATATATCTGAGTCTATGTATATATTTTTATATCTTGATTTATACCCCTAAAAGGGTGACGTCTCCCCGAGATACAAACATTTAGAGACATATTACAAAAAGTGTAAGCATTTACTTCATAAAATTTCAATGCAAACCTAATAAGCCAATGCGGAGTAACAGGTAAGGTTTCGTCCTCACTAACCAGAGATGGTGGCTGCGGTCTCCTCCGCCAGCAGTCGCTCCTTCTCCTCCTGCAGTTTCTCCAGTTCCCACTGGTGCTTTTTCTGCAGCTCATCGATCACTTTCTGGTGAGACTCTTCCATGGCGGCGAAGCCTCGTTCACACGTCGCCTGTAGGGAAATCGTTCAGATCGATTCAAGTCCACTTCTACTCTGACAAGGACAACACTTACACAGAACGGTGTCCACACAAAGCCAGATATTAATAACCTACGATGGCATGAAGGGGACGTAACATAACGTAATGCAAACACACACACGCTGTGATGGGACTGTGTGTTCATCCCAAAAACTTGGACACTTCAGCCAGACTCAATGCATGAATATCACTGGATTAGATACAAAACATCAAAAGAAAACAGAACGAATGCAGATATACTGTATAAACTTGAGATTTGGACACTTTGTGGTTGACAAATGCTGCTGGATCATGTTGAACTGTGAGATTTCATGCACTAAAATCACATTGACACCAGTTAAAAGTCAATGCAAAACTAGCTTAGCATTTGTTTGCAGACACAGCTTTCAGTGGATTGAAATTCAAACATTTGTAGCTTAAATGTCCAAGTACGTTTTGGGGGCACTACATATGCTCGTCTCTATATATTGACTTTAATTCCAATTTAATTAGGCCCTGGAACTTTCAACTCCAAAAACGCAGCATCCCTACATTTGTAAGATTTGCCATCAATACAAAGACACTTTTAGGATTAGAGCTACCATTTATGAACATGGAGTTTAATTTCAGAAGCACGTACTGATGACAAATTTATTTTTTACATTATATATGTGATCTGTGCTTGCAAAATCAGTCACAATGAGCAATCTTTTCACATTTTCCTGTAAAAGACCTTCAGAATGATGTATGGTTTGTTGGAATCGGATGAAAAATGACTGAGCTGCACCTGTTTGAAGTCGATAGAGTCAGCAAAGTCAATTTTGAGAAAAATCGAGTTAAAGTTTTCTGAAGGTTCCAAAGCAAAATCACAGCAACGTTGCATCTTTTCCTCCAGTTCTTTTCTTAATAATAATTAATAATAGTCACAATATAGCTATTTTTTATTTTATCTTTGTTATTATAAATAAGAAATGCAAAAAAAAAAAAATTAGTAAAACAAAGAAAAAAAGAATGCATTACTTTTTCCATTTTACATCTAAACAGAAGCATTCAAGTAAGAAAAACAAATAATCAAATGTAAAAATCCCTTTAGTGTGTTCATTGCAAATAAACTGATTATTAAAACTACAAAAGCAGTTCAATCAGCGAGTGACTCCCTCTTTTCTTTTATCATTAGATTCACATTAATGAGACATTAATGAGACAGACGGCCGATATGAATACTAGGGTTGGGTACCGAAACCCGGTACCAATATGACACCGGTACCTATGTAACCGGTATGTACTAGAACCGAATCCGAACGCAGATTTCGGTGCCTCATTTCAGTGCCATGCCTGAGTGCTCGATTGAAATATTAGTCCTCTGGTTCTCCGAAACGGACGTAAGAAGCATCATCACTGGCACGGCATGTGAAAAATAATTTCCTGACTGAGAAAATTCATGTAAACTCAAGTCGGAAAGCTCTAAAAATACAAATCCAACAAATCTTTGTAGTAATGCGAGTGTCCATGTTGTTTTCACATTCCGACTTAAAAGCACAACTCGGGAAATGAGAGCATCTGAGGCGCCCTCTGGCGTCCAGTATGCATGAAACAGACATGATGTGTTTATAGTGCTAATGGCCAATCCATAATTTTTGGGGGAATTTTTATTTATTTATTTTTTAATAAGCATCGGTTCAGGCACTGTTTAGGCACCGGAACTGTTTTAAAAGTATTGGTTTGGCACCGGTATCGAAAAAACCCAAACGATACCCAACCCTAATTAAGACCCACTGTAATGCACGGATCTAATATAATGTTGTTTTTCCCCAACAGTTCTCCAAACGTTCACTTAAGACATAACAGATTATGTTTGTGTGAATACTTAAATACTGTAATTCTGTATATATGTACCGGGATCTCGCTGCCGGAAGTGCCTTTATGCGGAGCTTCGGATGACAGTCAGCGTGAGAAACGAGCGGAGAAAAGGTACTCCTCTCAGAAAACGTACAAATAATGATCATTTTAGATGTTTACTTACTATTTGGAGCATTGGGATCACTAGATGAGGGCTTAATGAACTCATTTTTGTGAAAACCTCAAATTCGACATTTTTCACTTTTTTGCGTGTAGCTCAAAATTAGCCCAACTCATTTTGCCAGCACGGGTCACATATTGTTTTTAAGTCTTAAATTAATTGAATCTTTTAAGTAGTAAAACACAAATTTAGATGCAGTCTAAATAAAATATAAACTGCAAGCACTCTTTTAAAAATAAACTAAATTAGAAAACAAAATGAGAAAATATTCCTGCAAACCAAAGCACAAATAAAACTCTGAACTGTTATTATGTTTTGCAAATAATAAATAAACAGAAAAAAAGTTATCACTCTAATGAGAAAAAAGAAATGATTTTGCACCAAAGCCAACTCCATTTGAAACTGGCCTCATAACTTCATGTTCATAGTTATGAACAAATGATCTAGCCAGGAACTGACTTGAGCTCTGGTCTTTAAGGACACACTGACAAAATATAATAGAAAACTACAGAAATTATTCTAATATCCCATTATCCATGTGTTTTTAATCATCAACTGAGTGACAGAGCACAACACATTAGCTGTTTTTGTCAGTACTTGGAAATTGTTCTGCTTAGTTGGTGCAACAACTGCAATTTATATAATTTATTAAACTAAATTTGTTTTATTATAATATTGCATAAGTAAATTTAATGGTCTCTGTCCTCAGAGCCAAATCTTTCACATGTACTTACATAGACAAGTGTTTAAAATAAACCCTTTTAGTTAGTCATGCATGATTTGTTATTATGTTAAGCAGCTGGCATTTTGCGGTCATCAAAGATAAGCAGCAATTTATGCAGAGCACTGGCTGTTAATCAGGCAAAGAGGTTTAATGTGACGAGTTCAGATCAAAGTCAACCAGGTGAACCACACAAGTTTTCAGACTTCACTGCATAATTGCTGACATGAGGAGTATGCAGTTATGCATTCTCCAAAACTTAATGGTTCGCCATTGGACTCAATTATCTATAAATGGCTTCTTGCATATAATCATATTTTCCTCTCATCCACACTAGAGTCAACCCGTACATGCACACCAAAGGTTAGCAGCCATGCATCACTGGTGAGAGATATTAGGCCAGCACCACAAAGCAGAGTTAGTATGAGAGAAGGAAGGGAAAGGATCAGGTTTAAGGTTGTCAAATTAAGTCATTACAGACGGAGAAGAGCAAGGACACAGAACTCCTTGACCTTTAGGTTTTCCAGGTCTTTCTCGTATTTCAGATGCAGCAATGTTGCATCCCCATCACGATCTCGCCGGTTCATTTCTTCAGTGAGTTCGGACACCCGGGACACGAGTTTCTGGATCCGTACTTTGAGGGAAGTGGAGTCCGATCCAGGCTCGACGGCGTCCGTCAGCTCTTCCATCTCTTGACTGAAGCGTGCTATTAAGTCCTTACACTCTATCTCATGCTGCTTCTTCAGGTTCTCCATGCACCGCGTCAGAGAGTCGATCTCTTTCACGTTCTCCTCGGATCTCAGTCTCAGAGTCTCACCAGCCTTGGCCACTTCCCGTCTCAGCTTCTCCGCTTCTTGCTCGTACGCCTCCTTTAATTCGCGCAGCTCTTTCTTATGCCTAGCCATTGAGTCCTGAAGCTGTAAGGCCTCATCCGGAGAGTCGATCGGTTTTCCTTCGATCTGAATGTGGGTTAAGTCTCCACTGACGCTCGACTTAACCCGCTTCTCAGACTCGAGCTGTGCTCTCAAATCAGCACAACTTGCACATGCAGACAGGTCTAACGGTTTCGCCCTTGGCGAGTTCTGCAGAACTACAAAGCACATGCATGTTATGTCCATTATGGCCTCACGAATGTACTCAGACCAGCATCTTTGAGAGTCACAGCTTGACAGAGTCAAAGCCAACGACTGGAGCTCCTCATGAGTTCGTTCCCTAAGAGCCGAAGCGGTTTGATTCAATAATGTCACTTTCTTCTGAATGACTTCAGCGAGAGTCTTCAGGACGCAGGGATCGCTGGCATCACTGAGCAACCGATTCATAATATTCGATTTCATCATCTGTGCATTTCCATCTCCAGCGCAAGTTGCAGGTTTTGAGTCACCTTGAAGTTCTTGGAGGTTGGAGAGCTTATTCATAAGCAGCAGCAACTTATTATCCACTATCATACGTTCTACAGCTTTTCTTACTGCTTTGGCCTCGGAGCCTTTCTGACAGTCCTCTAAACCAGCTAAAACCTCATGCAGAATCCTTCTCTCAAACATCTCCTGCATCATTCCTGCCTGATCCTCATCCGAAATATTGGTGTCCATGCCAGTGTTGGACAAATCCGTCTTACTGCCAGTTACCAACAAGTCAAGCAGATGATTCAGAGACTTAGACTTGCTCTTGAACTCTTCCGCGACTTCCTCAACTACACTTTCATTCGCGAGTTTCTGCATCAACTCTTGACACCCACTATCTGTTCCTGGTTCACTACCAAACGTCCCTTGAGTTCCTGCCTTCTCCTTCAACGTCCTGATTTCCTCCTGAGCCTCTACAAGCATCCGACTACACATCCTCGCTGTCTCTTCATGCTTTGCATTCTGGGACTGAAGTTCTCTACAGACCTGCTCAGCATTTTGAAGCTGCTTCTCCTTCTCGGAAAGCTTAGATTGAAGGACCTCCAATTGCCATTTGAGTTCGTCCGTCTCCACATCTAACTCTTTATCATCATTTTGGCTTTCTGCCACCTGAAATCCAAGACCCCTAAGCGTAGCTTCTTTAAGCTGCAATCTTTTCTCCGTATCTTTCAAACTATTACCAAGAGTCTCCAATTTAATAAGAGCCTCTTGTAGCTTCTGTGACTTTTCGTGGAGTTCTCGCTCGTATACATTTTCCTCTTCTTGCACCTGGTTCACGTTGGCTTGTGGATATTGTTGGCTGCTACACAGTCGACAAAGCTCAGCATTCAGCCTGTCTATTTCTCGATCCGCTTCTCTCAACTGGTTCACAATTTCCTGATAGCGCTGGTTCAAAGCTACGTTTTCGTTCGCCAGCAACTCCACCTGCTGAGACAGATTGGGATGGTCTTCTCTCGAGCAACCCAACGCACATGGACTCTCCATTCTCTGCCTATGGACTCTTCCCAGCATGCCCTCCATGGTGACCAAACGAGCTTCATAGTCTCGGATAGAGTCTCCAGCCTTTTCCAAGCTTCTCCTCATGGTCTCATTCTCAATCTCTTGTTGGTTCTTGAGGCTTTCCAACAGTTTCTGCGTCATTTCGCCTACAGACCCACTTCTTTCCTGTCCTTGAGGGCTTTCTACCCAAAGGTATTCGCTATGCGAGTGCATGAGCTTTATCAGCTCTCTTAACGTCAGAGGCTCACTGGCATCAATCAAGCTCTCCAGCTCTCTAATCTTTCCCTCGCTATCCTGAAGCATAAAGCTGACTGTTTTCTGAATGGAGTTTGAGGGACAGACCTCTGGAGAGGAGGGTTTTTTGGTGTCAGAAAGGTAAGGTTCCTCTGCGGGGCAGTGTGAGAGAGAAAGGCCAAGCTGTGCCTGCATGTTGCGCTTTTTCAGTTCTTGCAGCTGCAGGAGCTCTTTGGTTTCCTGGTACTTCTTTGTTAAGCTCTGAGCTTGAGAACTAACCAGTTCAGTCCTCTTCACCTGGGGCTCTGTCTCAAGACTCAAAGGGGACTCCAGCTTGGAAAAGGGACCAGACAGTTGGTTAACAGTCAGCACAGATGAACATCGCTAATCAATTGCTAGATTATACTTTGAGTAAAATTCACATTTCATTACCACATCTGAGTCTAATCAATCTATGAAGTTTAAAGGGAGAGTCAATTAATTCAGCTTCTTTCATGGAATGAGGTGCATTAGAACGCTAGAAAATAATTAATGGCAAAAAGGTTAGTAAATCAAAACAGTGCATGCATATTAAGAGGTTAAAGAGTTGTTTCTTAGGGTAAGTGATGCAAAATTAGTGCTAGCTAAGAATGCCAGAACGGTCACATGCCATCCAGTTAAAAGCCTGCAGGCCGTTTGTGGAACAATTTAACCTGAACTACTAAGCAACCACTACTGTGTGTGTTTATAACAGACCTTTTGATTCAAAGGTGAGTAAATAAATCCATAAAAGACAACCCTTAAAACTAGCTGGTGGAGATAAAAATTTGTCCTGGGCAGATATTCACATTTGTGGATCAATGCCATGCTTTAGATAAAAATCACCACACATTTGCTTTTAATACATAAACGCCTTAACTATGGTATACTGAAAAGGTATCCTAAATAAAAACAATAACTGTAGCTATTTAATGCCAAAACAAGTCAATAAAAGAATTTTGAGAAGTCTACATTAAGCTCAGAAAACAATGCAATGATATTTTGAACAAACACTAAAGACAAACGTACACACACACACACACGCTATATGGAAGAAGTCAAGAATAAGGTTAAAATGAAATGAACGTTGGTTAAATATGAAACATATCATGCACATACGCATCTTTTCATATGTCAATGTTTAGGTAGCACTATACAGCATTTGAAATAATTTTCCACACCCATAAGATATACTGATACCCAATGCTTTTGAGAAAATACAAATAGGGGACATATCTGGCACTGAAAACTATTTTTCTAACCTTAAACTATAGCATAAATTCTACTAATAAAAGCATTGGTAACACTTTACTTAAAACCTTTAGTAAAAGTGTTTTTAATGCATTAGTTAATGTACCTTATCATGCATTATACGATCTCATGAATAACTGTAACCGCACTTATAATACATTATCTATTCACTGTTACACCTTTAGAAAGTGTAATGCATTAGAACACATGACAACCAAACCTTGAAATATTATAATGCATTTTAACTTTGGTTACAATTGTTTATAAACAGATATAATGCATTACAATGCAAATTATGAATACTTTTATAATGCATTACACATAAAGGCTTTAAGTAAAGTGTAACCATTTTTTTTTTTAATAATATGCTGTAGATGTTTTCCATTAACTTCAAATATGCATTGAGTATGAGTGTATCCGGAGGGCACAGTGAGTCTACGTTCTGAGTGTGTTTTCATGCCATCATTGCACATTTATTCATTCATGTTCAGTTAATGTTAATCATTTCTATGTTGGAACATGCAATACAGCTTGTATGAAATTGAAATTTTTAATGTTATTTTGCTTGAACATGGCAAGAAGAATCTTAAGTAGAGGCAAAAGAGCTCTGTTCGTTTACATGCAACGGTCTCTAGACATGCAAAGCACGCGTTTGCAGCTTCGATGATAAAGATGGAAGCCATGTGTTTGTTTTTCTCCTAATAATGACACACAATGTGTTCAATCAGGCAATACATGAATGCACTAAGAACATTGTGACATAAATGTGGCCTACCGGTGAAATGTAACCGGCACGGATCTGCTGTTCGCGCTGGAGAGCGTTCTTGAGCCGACTCTCCAGCTCCAGCTTGTGCTGATTGGAGTCCATTAACTGCTGGTGACAGCTCTCCAGCTGAGCTTTCAGCTCCTCGACCTAACAACATCCAAAACACAAAGGGAAGTTATGATCTCAAGCCACATCAGATTTCATTTTTCAACTCTCAACGATATAAATGTGTGAATATTCAAGTCGGTGGAGATATTAAACGAATCGCGACACCGTTGAGACACAGTGCTTGCCTCTGATTTTAAATGCAAGTTTGTTTATATGAAGAGATTTATTTTATTTATATTATTTATGTGATTTATGATTTGTTTGACATATTTCAATTTCACAAAAAAATGTGCAGCATTTTGTCTGAGAAATAATAAAAGGACACCTTTTAATTGATAAATTGTCTAAAATCTCATTTACGTGAGAAAATCGTATTGCGTGAATCGTTGCATCCCTATTTATATCATATGATATACAGTAGTTTATCAATATCACAGCAGCAAGAGTGCTGTTTCTCCCCGATATCTGCACCGCTGCAAATGTGATACCACAGTTCAATAAACGAGAAGTTAATACTGTTATATTTTAGACACAATGCTGTGTCCGTTTAAATTTCGCAAACGAAAATAGTTCCAATCAAAGCCACAGCAGAACTGTTGTTGTTTTCCAAGTGACACACAGCAGTGATTCATTACTGAATGAATCAAGTGAGCCAATGATTCACTGACTCATTAATAAAGAGTCACTTGCTTCGTTTCTGAATGAATCATTTGTTTGAACAAAACGGTTGAGTGAATAATTCAATGACTCACTTGCTTTTAGAGCACCATTTCATTTAAAAAAAAGAAAATTTCAAATTTGTTTCTCATTTAACACAATAATGACTTTAAAGGATGTTTTGAGGGGGTGATTTCTAAGCCCAATTTGACGTGCGATTAACTCAACAGCCCTAGTTTAAAGGAATAACTGTGCACTGGATTTTGAAGCCCGCACCCCTTTCCTGTAGCTCTCGAGGAGGTTCTCCAGCTCTGATGCGTCTCTGTTGTGCTGTGTGGAGGGCAAAGGCACCCTCCTCTCCTCCCTGATGGGCGTCTTCTCCACCTGCTGCCAGCGCTGCTCAATCTCGTCCTCCACTCTCTGCAGCCGCTCCTCCGATGGGGGCGGAGCATCTACCTGGACCACGTCCCCACTCTCGAAGTCCATCTTTGTGATGTCAGCGGCAGGATCGAAGGACGAGCCAGTGACGCTCTCGTACCTCCTCCGCCTCTCCTCCCTCCTCTTGTTTCTCTCGGTTAGCTCGGCCTGGAAGGTGTCGGCCTCGTGTGCTCTCTGCTGCGCCAGAGCCTGGGCGATGGGACGAAACTCGGCCCAGTCAAATGTTTTGGAGCGTCCTTCTCGCCTCCGTTCCCTTGCTCGGCTCTTCTTCAATCCACCTTCCCGCTCTACCGAGGTTTCGGAGGACAGGGAGTCCTGCGTGACGTCAGGCCGGGCGAGACTCTCAAACGGGCCGCAGGAAGCGTGTTCATCCGTCTGGCTGTTTCAAAACATTTTATACACAAGACTTAAATATTTTAAAGACAAAAACACATTTTTGTGCTACTGCATCATGCACGGTGACGCACCTAGCACCATCTGGCGCAGTGGATGGCCTGACGTTTTTCATAACCGCTTGGATCCAGTTGCGGCGTATTCCCGCGGTCATGGCAGAGAGCGTGTGCACTGCTTCTTGAGTCTGGTGTGAGCAAAGATTGAGCACAAACAGATCAGAAGAAGCTTCGGATTAATAAACACTTCAAACCCTTGGAAAACAGTAAAAAGACACACATCTGTCCCTGCAGTGGACAAGTACATCACAAGGCATCAGAACCATGTACAACTAAAAACACCTTTATAACATGATGATTACAATAAAATTTAAATTAAAATATAAAATCTAAATTAATAAAATTAAACAAAAATAAAACAATCCATAAAATTAAATATAAAATTAAAAAAGTCCATAAAATAAAAACTCCATGAAATAAAAACAATGAAATAAAATATAAAATAAAAGGTACATAAGATAAACAAATCTATCAAATAAAATTAAAAAGCTCATAAAAAAAATAAAATAAAAAATATCCATGAAACCAAATTAAATCTAAAATAAAAAGTCCATAAAATAAAATATAAAATGGAAGTCCATGAAATAAAAAAGTCCATAAAATAAAATAAAATAAAAAAAATAAAAAATCCTTAAGTGGCCCATAAAATGGCCCATAAATAAAATAAAAATATCCATAAAATACAACAAAAATAAAAAGTCCATAAAATAAAATAATACATAGAAAAACATCCATAAAATAAAAACAATTAAATAAATAAAAAAAGGCAATAAAATAATAAAAATAACATTACATAAAATACAAGAAAATATAAAATAAATAAGCTTTAGACACACATGAATCTGGAAGCCATAGTTCCGTTGAGCTTGATATTCTGTAACATTGTAGCAGGTACTGAGGTCAATCTCTCCATCCAGATCAGACGCCTGCTCACAAAACACCGTTGATGCAGTGAGAGAAATATGATAAATTACAGCAATCAGGCTGATTGACAAATGAAAATATCAAAAAAATCAGGGGGTATAAATGGCTATTACAGGGACTGTGATGTACCTCTTCAGCAATCGAATCCTTGTAGTATCGTAGACTGTGATCTGTCAGCACAAACCAATACTTCTTCCACTAAAACAGAAATAATAAAATTAGATTATCAGAATAGATCAAATATAATCCCGATAAAAAATGAAACATATCAGATCATTACAGAGAGCTCTTGGTCGCAGAGAATCCTGCATGCATCTGGTGTATGGGTAGGTGGTTTTTAAGACATTTATACTTCTTTAAAGACTGTGGTAATAAAGTTGACAGGCTCTGCGCTTTTAACTTTGACCTATTGAAGACGTGCGATCAAAGTGTGCTCTGCCCTTCAGAAGCATCAGTGCTTTGAGTCCAGGCCATTTGAGCTGAACAACTCGGATCAACGTGAAGTCAGAAAGCAGATTCCCTTCTTCAGTAAATAGAGATGTGATGCATTTAACACCAAGAACTTGCGCTGAACAACAAATATAGAGGCCAATGACAATTTCACTGCTAAACTGATTTTTTATTAATTTTTTTCTTATTTAGGCACGTTAAGCCAGAACTTAATTTATAAGACTTGATATACAATAAATGATTTACAATATATTACACTATACCAGCAATGCACCAACATTAATATCCAGCCGAAAAATTAATTTTCGATTTTGAACGAAGACGGAAATCACTGACCAAAAATGTTACATCGAAAAAGCCATTAGCTTGATAGTTAGAATTTTTTTTTTTTATAAAAATTAATAATAATTTAATCATAATTATTTAGAATCTATCAATTAATAAATTATTACATTAAAAAATGAAATAAATTATATATATATATATATATATATATATATATATATGCACAATATTATGTTTAAAATAATACTAAATAATAAAAATAATACTGAACAATTTTAATATTAAAAACGTCCTAAAACATATTTTTAGGAATTATAATTATCAAAAAAGCATTAAAATCTGCATCTTTTGTGATGCTTGCACGCAATTTATATTTTTTAATATATATTTTTATAATTATACCATAGTTATCTAGTAGAATTATATTTTTTAGTACAATCACTGTGAAAACATGGTGAATATTCAACATATTGCCCAGCACTTAGATTCAGTATTTTATTTCCAAACACTACTGCGGTCTAATCAGCAAGAGATTATTTTTGTTGATTGTTTT